TATGTTTATATACTTTTGTATTATTTTAAAAATTTTTTAATTTATTAATTTATTTTATGTTATATTAATTTTTTTTTTATATTTTTATCATATTATTTTATAATATTTTCTAATATTTATATTTTTTTTTATATAATTATTAATCTTTCATATTATTTTTTATCTTTTTATATTATACTTATTTTGTTTTTACTCTATTTCTTTTTTTTAATTAAAAATACATATCTTATATATTATTTTTTTCTATTTAATGTATTACAACTACAATTTGTTTTTATTTTTTATATTTTAATTATTGATTAATCTTAAAATATTTATATTTTTCTTGCAAATAGTTTAATTTAACTTTACAAAATTACATATAATATTTTATGATTTCATTATAAATATTTTTTTTTAATAATTTTTAAAAAATAAAAATATTTTAATTTTAAAATATAAATATAAATTTAAAAATAAAAATAAAAATTTTGTTTTTAATAATAAAAAATAAATTTAAAAATAAATATAAAAATTTTGTTTTTATTAATAAAATATAAATTTAAAAATTTATAATTAAAAAAATATATACTGGATATTTATTAATAAAAACAATATAACAATTTTTTTTAAGAAAATTTAAGAAATGAAAATTCTAACATCAATGAGTTTTGGAAAAGAGCTTTTAATTTTATATTGATAAAAAATTTTGAGAAAGAACTAAAAACTTGGAGCAAACACATTATAGCAATAATTTTAAAGAAAATTAAGTTTTTTAGGTAAGAAAAATAAATCAATAAATAAAGTTAATGAATTAATGACTTTTATCAAATAAATATCGAAAATTTAAAAAAGAATATATAAAATAATATATAAATTTAATATTTTAATAAATAAAAAATTAAATAAATAATAATGTATTTACAGACTATTTTATTTAAGTTAACATACATAATTAATAGTTCTTAACTTAAAACTATCAAAATAAAAAAGTGAAAATTAATATATCTAAATAATTTAATAATATATTAAATAATAATTTTTAAGAAGCTTAAATACTTGAACTTTTTAAATATTATAAAAAAAAAATATCTGAAATAAAAAACAGAAATACAGACATGTTCTAAATTCAAAGAAAACTAAAAAAAGCTATTTATATTGTAAATGAATAAAAGTTAAATCAAATAATTAATAAAATGTATGAAATTAAAAACTTTAGGTCAATTAAAATATTTTTAACATTGACAAAGATTTATTATTTTTGTATTTTTATTTTTAAAATATAATTTTTAATTTTTATATATGAAATTAAATATAATATAAATAAAATTTTAATGTCTAAGATTTTTTAAATGATCTTATTGAAGAATATGAAATAAATTAAAAAAAAAATTGATAAAAAAATTTAAATAAACTTAATTGGAAATAATATTAAAAATAAAAACTATAAAAATAAATTAAATAATGTTTAATTATAAAAAATTGAATGAATCCCGAAAATTATTTGATGGAGTTGCAAAATAATCAAAACAATAATTTTTAAATGCAAGTAAAAAAAAGGAAATTCTTATAAAAATAAAATTAAATAGTAATCAATTAATTTATATAAGTTTGTAAGAAATAGCAAAAATAATTTTTCATTTTAATTAAGTAATAAAGTAAAAAATATTAGAATCAACTAATACTTAAGAATGAAATATTTAAATTAAAATTAAAAGATAATAAATAATAAATTAACTAATTTTCGAGTTAGAAATAAAATAGAATTAAAATAAACACCTCTTTATAAAACGCAACTAAAACTGAGCTTTTTTTTAAAACATAAATAAGTTAATATAATTCTGTATTTTTTTAATAATAATAAAATGAACTTAGTTTTTTAAATTAAAAATGTATATATTAATTCTAAATATAGTTAAAATTAAAATAATCAGTAATTTTTATATCTAATAAAAATAAAAAATAAGATAAATCTTATTTCAAAAAAAAAGAGTAATTTTTTTTTAATTTATTTAATGAATTTAATGCTCTTTAATAAAATACATAATAAGTTAAAAGCTAATTTAAATAATTAGAAATCTAATTACAAAACTATTTAAATATTTGAAATGATTTTGAATAAGTTCAAAATGATGTTATTTACTTTCCTAATTTAAAGTGTAAATAATAAAATTCATTTACTTAATAAAAATAATTAGTAAATAAAATTGTAATAAAATTTTTAAAATATTAATTCATTAAATTATTGGTTTGTTATAAATAAATGTAAAATTTATATTTAAGTATATGTTTATAAAGATTTAAATTAGTTATTAAGTTTATTATAGAAAATACATTTTTATATATAATAAATATTTAATATAATTTTTATTTTATTTAAATGCTTAAACTATAATTCAAGAATTTTTTATTTTAAGCCAAATATTTAAATTATCAATTAAATGTATCAATACTATGATTTTTATATAATTTACTTTTAATTATTTTAAATATTTTCTAAATATGTTTAATAATTTACTTATTTAAGTGAACATATTCTAGAATATATTTTTTTATAATACTTTGAATTAATATCAATAGATTTTTTTTAAATATATAAACAAAATGATATCAAAATATATAAAAATAATAATTAATATAAATAATAATAATATAAAAAAATATAATATTAAATATTAAAACAAATTAAAATAATTATTTAAAAAAAAATATTTTAATTTATATTTTTACAGATATTAAGTTTTTTAAAATTATATAATAATAGTATATAAGTAATTTATTATAATATTTAATTTTTATTATAATTAAATGTTTTTAAAATATAAATGAAATACTTAAAAGTAAAATGATTTAATAGATAAATAATAAAAATCTATTTATAAATTAACTGTGACATGTAAAATTTTATTTACACATATAGTAAAATTTTTTGTATTAAATATCTAAATATAAAAAAATATAACATTATTAATAGCTTATATAATTGAAAAAAGATATTTTATATATATATAGATAAATGTAATCAAAAATTTATAAAATATTTAATATCAAAAATATATATAAGCATAAAAATATATATTTTAAAGTTTTTAAAAATTTAAAATAATTTTAAAATAAAATGATATATAAAAATATGTCCAAAAATTTTTATTAATCTATATTATTAAAATTTAAACAATTAATAATATAAAAATTAAATAAAAAAAATATATATTTATATTTTATTGTTATAATATATTTATTATTATTAAAATAAAAATATATATATATATATATATAAAATGTTAAAAAATAATATCAAAAATAAGATTTAATATATATATGAAATAAAAAAAGTAAAACATAATAAAAATATCAAAGGATAATAAATTAAAAAAATATATTATAAAATATCAAAATTAAAAAATTAATATATATAAAATAGTACATCATAATTAATATTAAAAAAATTATAAAAAAAAGATTATTTAAATATTATTAAAATGTATTAAAAAAAAATATCATGTGTATTATATATAAAATAAAATATAAATATAAAATAATTTTTAAATATATATAATATATTTATTATATTTTTTTATTATTATATTTATTAATTAAAATTCTTTATATTTTTAACTAATTTTTTTTTAACATTCAAAAAGCGAAGTTGAAATCTAACAATATATTTATTAAATTTTTTTTTCAAGATTTAAATAAAAACTTTTTTTATATATAATGAATTTATTTAAAAATTTTTATTATTATTAAAATTATTATTTATATTTAATTAAAATAAAAAAATTTTGATATTTTTATACTTTCTTAATTTTTTTTTTTTGTATAATAAATTTTATTTTTTATAAGTTAAAATTGATTTTTAAGAAATTTTATTTTTATAATATATCCTATATTTAATACATTTATTTCTAATCGTATTGTTAATTATTTAGTAAATTTAATATATTAACTGTTAATTTTTTTTTATGAAGATAAATTAATTTAAAATAATATAAATTTTTATTTTATTATAATAATTAAAAAAAACAAAATTAAAAATTAATAAAAGAATTAATTTTAAAGTTTTTGTCTATGATATGGTAATATTAATTTAGAATTTAAAATACTTAATAATATTTAACACAGCTTAAAAAAAATTATAATAAAATAATATATTATTAAGAATGAAATTAATATTTTTATAAACACTTTGGGATATTAGATTTAAATTCTAACATAATTGGGCTAAATTCTTATGATATATTTGTTTTAATTTATCTTTTTTAATTTTGTTATATTAACTATTTAGAATAATAATATATATATATATATATATATATATATTTAATTTTTATTTATACAATTAATTTTATTTTATTTATTATTTTTTTATTTTTTTATGATGTGATTGTTACCAAAAAAAAATTTTAAAAATTAGAGTTTAAATATAAATAATAACAAAAACTATATCTATAATAATTAATATATAAAAAATGGATAATAAAAGGGAAAAAAGAATATCCATTTAACACCAAAAAGAAGGAGAATATTGCGATTTAAAATAAGACTCTTAAAATCTACCGTTAAACGATTATTAACTATTTAATTAAGGCAAGCAGAAACCATATTTATACTTAAAAATAAGACCTTACTTAAAAAGACTAATTTTATCTATTCTAATAATATTAACATTTATATTATTATTTTTACAAATTTATAATGTTTCGTAATAAAAATATCCTTTAGAAAGTCCGAATGAATAATTTTTTCAAAATAATTGGTAAGATATAACTGATTAAATAATAAAACCTAATACAGAAAAAGCAAATTCGAAACTATAAAACTAAAAGAAAATAATTTAAAAGTACTTTTAATATCTGAACCTAATTTATCTTAAAGTGGAGCATCTTTAGACGTAAATGTAGGTTCATTTAGTAATCCAGACTAATTTTAAGGACTTGCACATCTTTTAGAACATATGTTACTAATGGGAAGTGAAAAATATCCAGACGAAAATTTATTTTTTGATTTAATATCAAAAAATGGTAATTTTTTTATTTAAATATATTGAATTATTATTTTAATAAAAAAATATAGGAGGATAACTTAATGCATTAACATCGAGTGGAAATACAAATTATCATTTTGAAAGCACAAATAATAATTTTGAGTAACTCTTAGATGTATGGAGTCGATTTTTCATTGACCCTCTTTTAAAAGAAGAATAACTAGAACGAGAAATATAAGCAGTAGATTCTGAATTTGTGAATAGCTTAACTACAGAAGCTTATAGAATATATTACTTATTAATTAATACAAGTGATAAATAGCATGCTTTTAGTACTTTTAGTTGTGGAAATATCGATTCTTTAATGAAGAATCCTAAAAATACATACTTTGCCCTTAGAGAGTTTCTTTAGAAATATTATTTTTCCGAAAATATGACTTTAGTAGTAAAAGTAAATTCCATTTATTTAAATTCAACTAAAAATAAAATTGAAGATCTTTTTTCACAAATACCTTCTTTTTTTTAGAAAAAAGCAGAAAATTCTAATCTTCTTTTAAATTCAATATCGTATACTGAATAAATGCCCGTTTAAAAAGGCTCATATTTATAATTAAAGGAAAACACTAAAACTAATAAACTTCATATATTCTTCTTTATACCTTTCAAAGAAGAAAGTGAATATAAAACATTAACATTTGTTTAATTTTTATTCAATTATGGATTCTAGGAAACAAACTTTTGCCTATATTTAGCTGAAAAAGGTTTATCGAGCAAATGTGAAGTACATATAGAAGAATAGATTACTGCTTTATGTAAATTTTTGACATTTTAAATAGAAATAGAACTATTAAATGAAACAAAAAATGATATATAAGAAATAATAAGAATTTATTTTTATTATATGCAAGAAATATAAAAAATAACAGAAAAAAAGGAAAAATATAATAAAATTAAAGAAATACTCGAAAAATTTTATTTTTTATAAATTTAATAATAATAATAATTAATGATTTAATTGAGTTAATTTTCTAAAATAATAAACTAGAATGTAAGCATAAAAGAAATATTAAGTTTTGAAAGTTTATTGAAAAAATTCAATATTTTCCATTTCGAATAAATATTATAAATTTTAAATAATCCCGAAAAAATAACTATTATTCACAATACTGATAACTTAAATGTTTTCAAAAATATGATTTTAAAAGAAAGCAAGCTTTACGATTTGACTTTTACTTAAAAATTTTTAAACGAAAAAGAACTTTCAGATTTTCTAAACTTCCAAAAAAAATTCGAATTAGTACCTTAGAAAAATTTCCCTGTTTTAAAAGATACTATTTTGGAAGATATTGATGATTCCTTTTAAGATGATGAAATTCCTTAAGTTATTTTGAGCAACAAAAACGGAAGATTACTCATTTAAGTGAGTAAAAAAGAATTTAAATAACCTAAATAGGTGATTTATTTAAAATTTGCTCACGATTTAGTTAAAAAAGATATTTTTAATAAAATATCAAATGAAATTTTTGTCAATGAATTCAAATTGATTTTAAAAAAGAGTCTTTTTAAATACGAAATGAATGGACTTACATATGGAATAAGTTCAAGTAAAGAAGGATTTGATATTTTTTTGGAATCTTTCAATTCTTTGCAGGAAGAAATAATGAATGAAATATAAAAAAGCTTAAATTAAGTGTAAATAAAGGAAGAAAATTTTGAAAAGAACAAGAAAAAAATCTAAAATTAAATAAAAGAATTTGAATATTAAATGATAATATAGTAATTTACCACTGAAGTTTTATAAAAAGTTTTCATAAAAGACTATTTTGGGAAAAAAGATATTTCATAAAATATAGAAAATTTAGATTTCGCAAGGCTCAATTAATTTTAAAATAACTTCAAAAACTCATTTTATTTGACTTTTTTTGCTTTTGGAAATGTCCAAGAAAATGTAATTAAAAAATATTTTCTTCAACTAACTTCTAATTTGAAAGATAATGCATAATCTTAATAAAATATTATTGGAAAAATACTCTCTTTTCCCAAATAAAAAATTGTTTTTAAAAATCTATATTTTTCTAGAGATAATAAAAATAATTTAGGAGTCACAGTATTTTATTTTGGCAAAATGAATACGAAATAAAGAGCTATATTAAAATTAATATAAAAACCTTTATATAGTTTTGCATTTGAAAAATTGAGAACATAATTATAATTAGGATATTTAGTTTCTGGTAAGTTGATTAATTTTTAAGATATTTTTATTTATTATGTAATTGTATAAGGATATAAAAATACACCTGATGTTTATAAGGAAGAAATAGCTATTATGGTAAATGATTTTGGTGAAAAATATCTCAAATAAATGGATGATGAAACTTTTTTAGAATTAAAAAAGAGTACATATTATAGTTTGTTATTAAATTTTTCGAATTTAACAGAGAAATCATAATTTTATTGGCAGTATATATAAGATTAGAGTTTTGATTTTTATGAAAATTATAATATTATTTAAGAACTTGATGGTATTTCTAAAGAAGATGTTATTTAATTCTTTTAAGTGTTCTTTTTTGATAATTTCCTTAATTTCTAATTGTTTAACCCTAATGTTACACCAAACATTTAAAATAATAATATTCAAGGTGAAACAGTTGTTTTAAATATCTAAAATCTATAATAATAAGGCTAATGGATAAATTTAGAAGATTAATTTAGTAAATTTAAACAAAGAAAAAAAAATTGATTTTTTTATAATAAATATAAATTATTATTATTTATTATAGTTAATTATTATTTAAATATTAAATATTTATAAATTATAATTATTAATTAATTTTTATTTTCTTTTTAATTTTATTTTTATAAGATTAAAGATAATATATATAAGATATTATTTATTATTATTTTTAATATAGGTTTATTTATTTTAAAAAATAAAATTTATAGATAAATTTTATTATTTATCCTTAATTTTCATATAAAAATATTATAGAATTAAAATTTAATTCTATTTAAATCTATTCAAAAATATTAAACAATACTTAATGATATAGTTATTATTAATAATTAAAAATTTTAATAAATTAAATTAAGAAAAAGCAAATATCCATTCATAATATTAATAAATTAATTATTACTTTTATTTTTTACTGATAAATTATTATTTTTAAAATCAATAAAAATAAAATTTTCTTAGAAAAATTAAAAGTAATTAAATAGCATATTTAATTTGTTTAATTTTAATAAAATAAATATTATTAATCATCTAAAATAAAAATTTATATTTTTTGTTTAAATTTTTATATTTTATTTTTTTACCTAACTTATTATGTTTTTAATTAAATATTTATATTTTATATTATTTAAATTTAAAATTAATAATATTAAAAAAAAATTGATAAAAAATATCATATGATTTGATTATTTATTATAAAGTGATTTAAAAATTATATTTTTAAATTAATTGTTTCGCAATTATACTTATAATAAAATTATAAAAATTAAAATTAATCATTATTAAACATAAAAAAAATGATTAAAATATACAATTAATTTAAATTTGACTAATTTTCATAAAATATGTTAATATATTAAATATATAAAAAATATATATTTAAAAAAAAAGATTGTATTATTTATTAATTTGTAAAAAAAAAATATAATTATAAATAAAAAGATGAAAAAAAAATTATTTTATTTATAATTTATTTTTTAAAATTTATATTAATATTTAATATTTTTAATTATTTATTATATTTTTTATTTTAAATTTTTTATATTTATTTATTTATTATTTATTTATTTATTTATTTATTTATTTTTATATAAAATTATTCTTTATAATTTTTTATTTTTATTATTAATAAATAAATAACATTATTTTTAATATTAATAATTTAAATAATTATATTTTTAATAATATAATAGTAATTTTTATATAAATAAATGAATATTAACAAGGAAAACAATATACCTTTTAAACTCCAACAACAAGTCAATTATTATGACTTTTAATAAGACTATTAAAATTTACCGTTAAATGAGCATTAACTACTTGAATAAAACAAAAGAAAATCAGCTTTATACTAAAAAATAAGACCTTACATAAAAAGACTTATTTTATATATTTTAATATTATTATCATCTATATTATTCTTCTCACAAATATATATTGTTTCGTAATAAAAAAAACCTTTAGAAAGTCCGAATGAACATTTTTTTTAAAATAATTGGCAAGATATAACAGATAAAATAATAAAACCTAAAACATTAAAAAGTAAATTTGAAGCTATAAAACTAAAAGAAAATAATTTAAAAGTACTTTTAATATCTGAACCTAATTTACCCTTTAGTGGCGCTTCTTTAGACATAAATGTAGGTTCATTTGATGATCCAGATTAATTTTAAGGACTTGCACATCTTTTAGAACATATGTTATTTATGGGAAGTGAAAAATATCAAGATGAAAATTTATTTAATGATTTGATATCAAGAAATGGTAATTTTTATATTTAAATATATAAAATTAATATAAATGTTAATATAAAAAAAGGAGGATAATCTAATGCATATACAGACAGTGGAAACACAAATTTTCATTTTGAAAGCACAAATAATAATTTTGAGTAAATTTTAGATGTATGGAGTCGATTTTTCATTGACCCTCTTTTAAAAGAAGATCAACTAGAACGAGAAATATAATCAGTAGATTCTGAATATATGAATACTTTAACCATAGAAGATGAAAGAATTTAAAGCTTATTAGTTGATATAAGTGATAAAGAACATCCTATAGTAATTTTAGTTGCGGAAATGCGGATTCTTTAATGAAGAATCCTAAAGAAACATAAATTGCCCTTATAGAGTTTCTTAAGAAATATTATTTTGCAGAAAACATGACTTTGGTAGTAAAAATAGATTCTTTTATATTAAGAATCAACTAAAAATAAAATAGAAAATATATCTTCACAAATACCTTCTTTTAGAAAAATTAACAAAATTTCCAATCTTCTTTTAAATTCCAAATAGTAACCTAAATAAATACCCATTTAAAAAGGATCATATTTACAACTAAAGGAAAATGCTAAAACTAATAAACTTTATATAATCTTCTTCTTACCATTCAACGAAGAAGGTGAATATAAGACATTAGCATTTATCAAATATTTATTCAATTATGGATTCTAAGAAACAAACTTTTGCCTATATTTAGCAGAAAAAGGTTTATCTAGCAAATGTGAAATAAATATAGAAGAAGTGATTCTTCTATAAGTAAAATTTTGAAATTTAAAATTGAAATATAGTTATTAAATGAAATATAAAATGACATATAAGAAATAATAAGAATTTATTTTTATTATATACAAGAAATATAAAAATATCTGAAAAAAAGGAAAAATACAATAAAATAAAAGAAATACTCGAGAAATTATTTTCTTTATAAAGTTTATAAACAGAATAAGTAATGGATGAAGTGACTTAATTTTCTGAAATAATAAACTAAAATATAATAATCAAAGAAATTATAAGTTATAGAAGTTTATTAACAAAATTCAATATTTTCCATTTCGAATAAATGATAGAAATATTAAATAACCCTGAAAAATTAATTATTATTCATAACACTAATAACGAAAATGTTTTCAAAAATATGATTTTATAAGAAAGCAAGCTTTATGATTTGATTTATACTTAAAAATTTTTAAATGAAAAAGAGTTTTAAAATTTTCTAAACTTCCAAAAAAAAATTGAATTAGTGCCTTAGAAAAATTTCCCTGTTTTAAAAGATACTATTTTTGAAGATATTGAAAGCTCATTTTAAGATGATAAAACTCCTTAAGTTATTTGAGTAACGAAAACGGAAGATTACTCATTTAAGTGAGTAAAATAGAATTTAAATAGCCTAAATAGGTAATTTATTTATAATTTGCTCACGAGTTAGTTAAATAAAATATTTTTAATAAAATATCAAATGAAATTTTTGTCAATGAATTCGAAATGATTTTAAAAAAAAATCTTTTTAAATACGAAATGAGTGGATTTATATATTAAATAAAATCAACTAAAGAAGGATTTATTATGTATTTGGAAACTTTCGATTCTTTGTATGAAGAAACAATATAGGAAATATAAAAAAGCTTAAACTAAGTGTAAATAAAAGAAGAAGATTTTGAAAAAAATAAGAAAAAAATCTAAAATTAAATAAAATAATTTGAATACTAAATGATTTATGAGTAATTTAGTGAATTTTTGAAAAAAGTTTTCATAAAAGACTACTTCGAGAAAAAAGATATTTCATAAAATATAGAAAATATAAATTTCGCAATGCTCAATTAATTTTAAAATAGCTTCAAAACCTCCTTTTATTTGACTTTTTTTGCTTTTGGAAATGCCCAAGAAAGTATAATTAAAAACTCTTTTCTTTAGCTAACTTCTAATTTATAAAATAATGCATAATCTTAAAAAACTATTATTGCGAAAATACTCTCTTTTACCTAATAAAAAATTGTTTTTAAATATTTATTCCCATCTGGAGATAATAAAAATAACCTTGGAGCCACATTATTTTATTTTGGTAAAATGAATATGAAATAAAGAGCTATGTTAAAATTAATATAAAAACCTTTACAGAGTTTTGCATTTGAAAAATTGAGAACTTAATTATAATTGGGATATTTAGTTGATGTTTCTTTGATTAATTTTTAAGATATTTATATTTAATCTGTACTTGTCTAAGGATATAAATATACACCTGATGTTTATAAGGAAGAAATAGCTATTATGGTAAATGATTTCTTTGAAAATTATCTCAAATAAATTGATGATAAAACTTTTTTAGAGTTAAAAGAGAGTACAAAAGAAAGTTTACCATTATATTTTTCGAATTTAAATGGTAAAGCAACATCTAATTGGTATTATATTTAAAGTTAGAGTTTTAATTTTTTAGAAAATAATTATATTTTTTAAGAAATTGATGGCATTTCTAAAAATGATGTTATTTAATTCTTTTAAGCGGTATTTTTTAACAATTTCCTTAATTTCTAATTGTTTAATTCTAATATAACACCAAATATTTAAAATAATAATAATAATCAAGGTGAAACTGTTGTTTTTAATATCTAAAGTTTATAATAGTAAGGCTAATGGATAAATATAGAAGATTAATTTAGTAAATTTAATCCAAAAAAAATATTTTGATTTTTTTTTTAAATAAATTATTATTAATTTATCATTGTATTTAATTTTTTTTTTTCAATAATTATTAATTAAATTTAATTTTATTTTTTTAAAAAAGATTTGTAAAAGAAATTATAAATAAAATATTATTTATTATTTTTAAATAAGTTTTTTTATATAAAAAAAATAAAGTTTATACATAAATTTTCATTATTTATCTTTAACTTTCATATATAAATATTATCCAAATTTAATTCTATTTAAATCTATTCAAAAATATTGAACAATACTTAATTAATTTAGTTATTATTAACAATTAAAAGTTTATTAAATAATTAAAATAAGAAAAATAAATGTCCTTTTTTACCATTAATAAACTAATTATTACTTTTATGTTTTATTAATTAATTATTATTTTTTAAATCATGAAAAGTATCATTATCTTAGCAAAATTAAAAGCAATTAAACGGCATATCTAATTGGCTTAATTTTTATAAAATAAATATTATTTCTTCATTTATATTACTATTTATATTTTTTTATTATAAAATAATAATATTTTTGTTTACTTAATTTATTATGCTTTTTAATTTAATAAATATTATTCTATAATTTATTTAACTTTCAAAATAAGAATTGGTAAAATATATCTAGATACATCTTTTAATTTTGCATTTTTATTAGAAAATGATAATTAAAATAAATTTTTGATATAGCTTTTTCTCATTTCCACTTCGTTTTCTTAAAAATCTTCCAAATTTGGATTCTTCATTGTTTAATCAGAATAGTTTTCTAATAATTAAACCATTTTTTAAATTACTTCATCGTCTAAAACTAAATTTTCATCATTCATTTGGGCAATAATAAATTCAATACAAGCTTATTCTATTTTACTTATTTCTTAAATAATTAAATTCTAATCCTCATTTTAAAATTAATCTATAATTATATTTTTATTTAAAATATAAAAAAATAAAAAACCAATTTTTTCTTTAGGCCTTTAAAGAAGATTTTCGAAAATGATAAAAAGATTATGATTAATAGATTTATGTTTTTTAATTAAAAACTCAGCAATTTAAAAAAACACCCCAAAAGCCTATTTCCAAATAAATTAGAAATTTTTGGGTAATTTCTAATGAAAACACAAATACTAGTAATCATATCTCAATTCAACAAGTACTTCGATTTTCGCAAGAAAGTATTATATAAAAACCTATTAAATATTTTCCTAGAAATCTATATTAATAATAAAATTAGCAAAAAAATTCATAAATTTTAACACTACTAAATAACTTATTCGATCATTTATTTACATATTTAATATATCAATCATAAAAAGAAGCATTTAATTTTATACTTATTCGCTTTTTAATAAAATAAACCCTTCAAATTCTTTAATTACATTATAAAAAGTATTGTCATCATTTAAATTAAAATGTGAAACAACTCCATAACTGTCTACTTTTTTCGCAAATTAAACAGCAGCTTTAAAAAATTCAATAAAAGAGTTCATTATCACTATACAATTCGTTTCTTATATACAAAAGTTTAAATAAAGTGCATATATATGCATTGTTTAAGGAAGAATTTGCTATAAGGCGACTTTACTTTGCATTTTATCTTCTCCAGTAATATGATTCATACTATTTTAATAATCTAAAAGCATTTCTTTAACAAAATCGAATGTTTTTAAAGCCTGAACCGGTTTATTTTACACGAAATCTTTAATTAAAATAAAAAACTCAAAAACCAATTCTTAATTCAGAAAACTAATAATTTCCTTAAATTTCGAAAAAATAAAAATATAAAGTTAAATTAAACTCTCGTCAATATCAGAAATTAAAAATGCTCTTTTATTTATTTTCTAAAGGCTTTAAAATAACATAATAAGCGTGTTTTCCCAAGCTTTTAAATTCAATATTTTTTCATAAGCAGAAATATGATTTAACATCAAATTTATGGAATTATTATCAGAAGGAATCGTGAATTTCGGAGTTTCAGGAATTCCCGAAAATTTCGGAGTTTATAAATGAAATTGAGGATGTTCATGCGGATTTTCTTCGTAATTTTTTAATATTTTCAAATAAATTTTATCTATTTGCTTTATAAAAAGATCTTTACTTATTTTCAACCAAAATTTAGATGAGAAAAATTTCATATTTGTAGTTATTAATTTAGTTATTGTAATAATTGAAGATTATCGAACCTCTGGTGAATTATCACCTGTTATAACTATTAATTTAGTGAATAAACTTTCCCATAAGTTCTCAAAGTTGTCATTAGAATTATCATTATTAGAAGATTTTTACTCGTTTAATTTACCTAATTAATCGCCTACATGCCAAAAGAAATCAACTGATTAATAAATATTATTAGAAATAACTTAAATTTTAAAATTATTATTATGAATAATATAAACATATAAGTAAATAAAATATTTAAAATATAAATTATTATATATATATATAAATATATATATATATATAATATATATATATTTAAATATTTTTACATTTATAATTATTTTTTTTATTATAATTTTTTTACCTGAATTTTTTCTAAAGTTTTCTATTATGTCCATTATTAAAGTAAATTGATTAATTAAAATATGAGTTATGTGTTAATTTATTATAATTTCTAAACACTAAATACCTTAATTAAGAATATTTTGTTAGTCACTATTTGTTGAAGAAATATATAGTATTTCTAAAATTGTTTAGATTCCTTTATTTTATATTTAATGTCCATTATTTTATAGTAACTTTAATATATTAATTAAAAGATTTTCTTTAGTATCCACAAAAGGCGAACTAATAACTTCCTTATATGGTTGAAATAGCGTTTCTTACCAATTTTCTTAATTCCAAAGGTTATTTTTGCTGAAATTTTCTTATATGCTTTTATTTTAGAAGTTAGAATATTAATACATTTACATGAAAAAAATAAAAGCACTATTTATTATTGTATTTAATATTTCTACAGATAAAACTCTTAATTCAGATATTTTTTCATTAGCAAGTAAAAGAAAATGTGCGGCAATCAAATCCCAAAAAAGTTAAATTCTTTATAAATTAACAATTATGATTTCCTGCATTTTTAATAATGCGAATTTTTTGGTGTTTATATCAAATGCTTTCTTTTGTTATTAATCTATTGATATTATTTCTAAAATTGAAAGGTTTACTTGATTTAATGCATTTATTAATACTACTATTAATTAATCCTTTATTTATTTTGAATAAATTTAAATATTATTTATTATTAACTCTATTATTAAATTTTTATATTAAATATATTACCTCCATTTCATTACTCTAAGTAAATAAATTATTTAATAAGCTTTAGAAAATCTAGATATCTTACATAACTTAAGAATCATCACTATTATTTTAAAATTTCTTTTAGAAAAATACATCTAACTTTTACATACTTTACAAAATAATATGCCATGAAGATATACCTAAAGTATCTAAAAAAATAAAATAAAAATAAAATAAAAAATAAAATATATATATATACTTCCAATGCAATTTGCAACATTAAAAAGTGCTTTAGTTGATTAAATATTAATAAAAATCTAATCTTCATTATTTTAACAAATACAATTATCTGCAATAACCTTCAAAAATGTATCAACAATTTTATTAAGTTAAAAAAATGAAGCCATATTAATCCAACTTTAAAGTTAAGTAAAAAGATCTTATGTATATAAATCACTAATTTATTTCTATAATAAAGTTTTTATGATTCTTAAAAAAGGCCTCCATAAATTTTCTATTATGCTAACAATTGGACTAAACTTTTCATTTTATAAATTATTTTCTTTATTGTTATTATTTTCATCAAGAATTTATTTCTCGATTTTCTATTACATTCTTATTAATGAAAGTGTAAAATTATTTACACTCTCAATTAATATTTTATATAATTAATTAAAACTTATTAATGGAGGATCTGGATAATCCATCTCGTTTCTATCTAAAATTTTCCCTTTTATATTTGTTGTTATTTATTTTTTTATTTCCTAATCTGGAAGTTATGCTATATTTTAAGCTATCACATATACTAATTCGATTATTTTATCTAAATTTCTTTCTCCTTTCTCATCAGCAACTGCCAAAAGTTAAATAAAAGAAGTTTTTGAAAGAGCCAAAGCAAAAAACTCTATATAAATATATGAAAAAATGTAAATTTTATTAACTGATTTATTCATTTGGTGTATCTTTTAGATTATTTCCATATTACTATGTAAATTAAAAGTCAATCGAGAACATAATTTTATTATTCGAATTCCAAATTAAAACTCTTAATATTCAAAATTAATGTTTTCAATTGCAAATGGTACTAACTTTTCCTTTATTAATTAATTTATTTAATTATTATTCTATATGTATTTTCCTGCTTATTTTAATATGCTTAAAATAAGATCAAATGCTTTTTTGTTTATATTATTTAAAATATATATAACAAAATATATTTACCAATTTCTTAATAAAGAGGAACTTAAGCTATATTTACATATTAAGGTAGTTTTTTTCCTTCCAGAAATTAAATTAATTCAAAAAGTAATTTAAAACAAGTTCTTTTTTTTTTTAAAAAAAAATTAATTAATAATATATCTTATTATTAAAAAAATATATTTTACTAGTTTATTTAATTTCTGTATACTGGAGAATATTAAATTTATGATGCTTCTAATGAATTTTTAAGTAAGTTTGTTTATTCTATCTATTATTATTATTATTATTATTATTATTATTATTATTATTATTATTATTATTATTATTATTATTATTATTATTATTGTAATTATTATTGCTATTATTATGGTTTTAATTATTGTTATTATTACTGACATATTTAATCATCAATACATGTATTAAATGTCGTTAATTAAATATTTACTTTTTGTTAATCTTAACATTTCACAAAATGATCAAAAACTATGCTTGTTAGTTAAAAAAGACCTGATAAAGAAGTGTTATGGATTATGATATCTTTTTAATCTTATAGATTTAGGCAAATATTTAATATCTTTTTTTATTTATTTTAATTTATTTTTTTGTTTTCTTTTTTTATTTTTTACTTTTTCAATAAATTCATATGTTCGGCCATTTATTATTTTAGGATTAAATAACATTAATAATGTTTATATTAATTTTATCTGTATTTTTTCATCTTTTATGTCTTTTTATGAATATAAAAAATTTAAAGCGATATTGTAGTTATTCTATTTTATTTTTTAATATTTTTTGATTTTTGATTTACTTCTTAAATTCTTTATTATGATAGCATTTTTTATAACATATTTAAACCTAATTCGTATAATTTTAGTGTTTTAGTCTCTTTTATAAGATCTATTATTTAAAATAATTCATTTAAAGGCAAATTAATTATTGATTAAGTATTAATATTTTAATTATTTCTTATATTTTATAAAAAATTTAAACAATCATTTATACTCTATTAATTTATTGTAAAAAAAATTTGATATAATATAAATAAATTATTAATTTAAAAAAAATTGTATTTTTTTTCATAAATTTTTGCAATTATATTTTAAAATAAACATCTTTTATTTGCGGAAATCTTTTTCTTGTTTCTGGAAATATGCTTTGAAGATCTTTTTCTATTAATTCAATAAAGTTGCTCATTTTTTTTATTAAAAAAAAACTATAATTTATATTTTTTTAATTTGTAAATTTTTTTGATAAAAAAAAATTATTTTAAACTAAATAAAAATAATTAAAAATATAAAAAATTATAATATAAACTATATTATAAATGTATAAATAAACTTAATTATTAAATAATATTTAAATATAAAAAAGTAAGTTTTACAAAGTTTTCAATAAGCAATAAAAATTGTTATATCTATGATTTTAGCAAAATATCTATATGTAATCGTATTTTAAAAACCTATTTTATTAATTATAATAATATATTTTCAATTTTATTAGTATAAAATAAATTTATGCCTAATATGATTAAAGATATAAAAATAAATATATTAATTATATACTACAAATTTTAATTTTATGATTTTCTTATATAAGATAAAATAAATAAAAATTTATAAAATTATTTAAATATAAAACCTAAAATAGTTAGTTAAATCTATCTAAAACATTAAAAAAATAAAAACATAATAGCTAAATATATTAAGCTATAGTTAACAATCCATTAATCATAAAAAATAAGGATTAAAAAGAATGACAATTAAATACAAAAAACTAAGTAATTAATATCAATTTTATTTAGCTAAGTATTTTTAAAAATCCATGTATTAATATTAATAATAACCCAATCAAATATTTTACATTATTAATATGAAATCATGAAATATTAAAGGTTTAAAAACTACTATATATAAATTGTTAATTTTAATAATTTATTATAATATATTGAAAATCTTTTTTTTTAATTTAAAAATTAAAAAATATTATATAAGTAATTTTAATATAAATACATTTTTTTATATAATTAATAATACAATTATTAAAATATTAAATAAATAAATAAATAATTTTATCTATTATTATATAATTATTTTCTTATTTTCTTTTTTAATTCAATAATTATATTTTAAAAGTCATTTTTCTTCATTAAAATTAATATTAGTATTTTATTTTTATTCTAGTTTAGTAAAGGCTATATACATAAAAATACTTATTATTAAAGTAAATATAGATATATACAATATTTTAGTCATTTTTTCTTAAAAAGTTTATTTTTTTAATTTTTTTTATTATTTGTAGTTTGGATTAAGTGTTTCAGTACTTTTTTTCTTTATTTCTTAATTCAGTTTGTTAAATTATTTTACTTATTAAATAGCTATTTACCTTCTATAGTTATCTATTAATAAGTTATTATTTTTTTAGTTATTTCCGTTTGCTACAGATTTTACTGATTTGTTGCTTATATTTTTACCTCTCATTTTCTTTATCTTTGTTTTTTTTCTTTAATTAAATAATTATATATTTTTTATAGTTTTTCAATTTAATAATATTAATATTTAAAAATATTTATTTATAATAAATAAACTTTATCTTTTTTTTTTAATTAAAAAAATTAAAGAAATTTTATTTAATTTTTATTATTTATACAACAACTATTTGTATTATTTATTATTATATTTTTTTTATTATTATTTATTATAATAATTTAAAATAAACATACAGATATTTATAAATAAAAATGAATTAAAAAAACAGAAATAGGAAGAAAAAAGATAATAAAGATAATGATAAAAAATCAAAAGATGTACTTTAATAATAATTATTCTATATTAAACCTTAAAAATAAAATAACAAAAAAATTAAAATAATCCAAAATTTCAAATAAAGGCAGAAGATAGATATATTGAAGCAAAAAAAATAATAAGCAAAGATAGTATAACAAGATAAGATTTTGAAAAAATAACAAATTATTTATCAGAAGGACTTAAGCTATTGTAAAAATAAAAATATTTCCAAAAAAAAAAAAAAAAACATAAAAATAAAAGACAAGCAATATAAAATTTACCTGAATAAAGATAAGCAAAATATTTTCATTTATAAGGTATAGCATATTAAAATATAAAAGAATACACTAAAGCTTTACATGAGTACGATGCTGCTGTAAAAAATGAAATAGATAACCCATTATATCATTGTTTTAAAAAAATAAAATAATAAAAAGTTTAATTTTATTTATAAAAAATAGTATGTAGAGGAAATATTTTATTAGAATTAGGAAATTTAAAAGAAGCCTTAGTAGAATTCGATTATACAATAAATTTAAATCCAACAGACGGGATGAATTACATGAATAGGGCAAAAGTATATTTTGATTTAGAACAATACAAAGTAAATAAGAAAAAAATATAATTTAAATAACAAAATAAAAAGAAAGCAATAGATGATTATTCATTGGCTTAAAAATATGTTAAAGACTCAACAAATTTGTTCAAAATATATTATAATCTAGGAGAAAGCTATCGAAGAATAAAATAAATGCAAGAAGCAATATAATATTTAGAGAAAGCCACATTAATAAAAAAAGAAGATTCTGAAGCATAAAATACATTAGGACTAGCTTTATTTGAAGACTAAAGATACGAAGAAGTTAAAAAAAGAAAAAGAAAAAATAATATAAAAATAAAATAAAAAAAGGCATTAGAAAAATTTCAAGAAGCTAGAAATTTAGATGATAAGAAAGCTGATTATTATACAAATAAAGCTTAGGCATTATATTATATGAAGGAATATGCATTATCATTAGTAGAATGTGAAATGGCAATATTACTAGATTCATAATCATCACGAAATTTTTATGTTAGAGGAAATTCATATTTAGCAATGAAGTAATAAAAAATTCTCAAAAAATATACATATAAAATAATAATCAAAATTTTTTGTTAAAAAAGTAAATTTTATGAAGCACATAAGGATTTTGATACTGCAATATCAATAAATTGTAATAATGAAATGTATTATCATTCTAAAGGAATGACCTACAACTAATAATACGAATATGAAAAAGCAATCCGAATGTTCAAAAAAGCATTACAAATAAATCCTAATCATATCCCATCTAGATACCATTTAGGTCTAATGTTACATATAAATGGTTACTATCAAGAATCTATCCAAAATTTTGACATAGTTTTAAAAGATAAAGGAGATGATCGTCTAGTATATGAAAGTAGAGGTAAAGTTTACCAAGATATGAATTAATACGAACTTTCAATTTAGGATTTTAATTAAGCGATTAAGTTAGATACATCGAATTCAGAAACTTATTACTATAGGGGTTTGTCATATATTGCAATGAAGAAAATTAAATAAGCACTTCATGATTTTACACATTCATTGCAATTAGGTAATAAATATCCTGAGGTTTTTAGCGGTATGGCCCAAGCTTATAGGTAAATTAATGATTATGAAAAAGCTCTCTTTTATATTAATGAAGCATTAGATAAATGTGCACTTAATGTCGACTTTTTACTATAAAGAAGCAATATATATGTCGATATTAATGAATATACAGTAATTATATATTAATTTTTTTTTAAATAAAAATTAAAATATATTAAAAAGAAAGCCATTACTGATTTAAGTTTAGCTTTAGAATAAAGACCAAACGATCCTATGGTATTATATAAAAGAGGAATAGCTTTATTTAAAAATAAGGAGTATTTTTAATGCATAAAGGATTTGTTCAAATCTTACGAATAAAAACCAATAAGTAATTACACAGCAGATTTACACTATCATTTAGGAGTTTCATTTGCAAATTTAGAAAAATTCTGGAATTCAGTAGAACCATTAACAGAAGCAATAAAATTATAATAAGATTTCCCGCATTATATACATGAAAGGGCTAAAGCTTATTTGTTAATCGGAGAATATGAAATGGCGGAAAAAGACTTTAATAAAGTAATAGAAATGTAACCTAATAATTCACATGCATATTTTGGTAGAGGATTTGCTAGAAAAGGAAAAAAGTTATACGAATAAGCTGCAGAAGATCTTGAACATGCAAAATAATTAGACCCTTAAAATCATTTAATGGTGGTCAATTATAGAAATATGGCTTAAATTTAATTTATTCCTTTATGTAAACCTGGTGAAGAAGACTAATAAATATGAAGAATTTATTTATTTTATTTTATAATATAAAAAAATATATAATTTTTATTCATATATGTTTAATTTAATATTATTATTATTATTATTATTATTATTATTATTATTATTATTATTATTATTATTATATTCTTTATTTTTCTTTTTTATATTCTTTTTCAAATTATTATATTTTTGCATTTTAATAATTGTATTTTTATCCTATTTGTTAACAGAATACAAAGTATTGTCCTTAACATTATTTATCACATTTTTAGTCATCATTTATTTATTTTTTTATTACATCTTTTAATTCTTTTTTTATTTCATTTTTTTCCCCTAATTTCCTATTCTCTTGTTCCTCTTATTTTTCTACTTAGTTTTAATCTTGAGTTTCTTCCTTTTCATAATTTTTTTCTTATTCACTTTTTTCTAATTTTTATATTTCTTCTTATCCTTCTTTTATTTCTTATTCTTATTTTCTATCTTATCCTTCTTATAATTTTTTTTCATATTTTTTAAAAGCACAAACTTCACACCACGTAAATTCTTTAAAATTATTTATAAATTCTTAATCTCGTTTGATTTTTGCTTTCTATAATAGTTTTTTTTTCTTACAAATTTTTGATTTACATAAACCTTTAATTTATTCAATTTAAATTTATTATATTTATAGTATAAACTCTTAAGTAATTCTTTCTTTTTCATTTTTGGCTTATAATTAAATTTGTTTTGTTTCAAATTCTAATTAAATCTATAATCTTTTAATTTCTTTGATTTTTTCTTATAGTTAATCATTTTATACTATCTTTGCTTTTTTTAATTTAATTGAATTTATATTTTTAATATTTTCTTACATAAATATTCTTTTAATTAAGATGGTATATTTTACAAGAAATTATTTAAATATTTCTCTTTTTTTAATTTATATTGTTGCTATTTTTCAATTAAACCTTTTAATTAGACTCCTAATAATAATTTGTAAAAATAAGCTGATGATGTTATCGAAAAACCTAAAATTGATATATTTATTAATTTTTGTATACATAAATCATCCACTAAATATTAGTAAATTATATATATTGGTATTATTAAAAATATTATGTATACTATTCTTTTCACAAAAAATATTCTCTTCTGGCTTTTTTTAATTGTTTTTTTTATTTTTTTTTCATATTTTTCTATATAATTGAATTTCTTTGTTATTTATTAAATTATTTATTCATTATTCATAATATCTGATTAACAATAGGAATATATTACATAAAAAATCACAATTAATATTAAAAATATATGTATTTAATTTAAGTTTTACTATAAATAATAAGGTAATTCAAGTTTTCTTTCTTCAATAAATTAGGATATTTAGTTTCTAAAAATATTTAGTTAGTCCATTATTATTTAAGATTTTCTTTTTTTATAAACTTATTATATATTATTTTAAAATAAATATCGAAATCTAAAATTTTTTTTATTTATTTTTATATTAAATTTAACATTATAAAAAAAAAAGCTTATTTTCATTTGTAAATATAACTATATTAGAAAAATAATTAATTTTTTGATTAAATAAATAAAAATATATAAAAATTCAATTAAAAAAAGTTGATATTACTTTTATCCTACAAAATAAAATATAAATTTAATTATTAGTAAAAAAAAAAAAATGAATAAAAACTTAAATTTTTTCCAAATATTAAAGACTGGAACCTCATTTAAATAAAAATAAGAAACAAACAGATTCACATAAGTAAAAAAATAATAACAAAAAATATAAAATAAAATCAAAAGAAAGAAAACGAATAATCTTTTAGATAATAAACACCATATAGAAAACTTTCGGATTCTTCAATTGTATATAAATATAATGAATCAGACAGTGATGATAGTGTAAATGATAATTTAAAAAAGCTAAGTGTATAATTATAAAATTCTAAATCCCGAAGAAAAATGAGTGTAGATGAATTAGAGAAAGACTGGGAACACTAATAATAAATAAAGAAATAAAAAATAAACCTGCTAATGAAAAAAAATAAAATAAAAGTCGAAGGCGATAATGTACCTCCTTTATTTACTAATTTTACAAAAATGCAAAAGTAAAAAAAATTAAAATCAATTAAAATAAAATAAAATAAGATAATATAATATAAACCCTAAAATACTCGAAAACATGAAAAAAGCTGGTTACATGAGGCCTACTCCAATACAAATGTAAGCAATACCAATAATAATGGAAAAAAGAAGTTTAATGGCATTAGCACCAACAGGAAGTGGCAAGACAGCAGCATATAGTTTACCAATAATAAAAATTCTAGAAAAGCATGAAAAAATAGGAGTTAGAGCATTAATATTTGCTCCAACAAATGAATTAGGAGAATAAATAAGAAGAGAAATAGAATTTTTAACTTATGGTTTGAAAGATGCTGTGAGAGTGAAATATTTATAAAAAATAAATACTGAAATTAATGGCTTTAAGAAAGAAATAGAACATATTGATATATTAATTTGTACTCCTTTGAAATTTTTAAAAATAACCAAAAGGGCTTAAGAAAAATTTGAATTTTTATAATTTTTAGTTTTCGATGAAGCAGATAGATATTTTGAATTTGTAATTATTTTATTTTATATGATTTAAATTAAATATATAAAAAAAAATAGAATTTAGCAAAATAAATGAAAAAAATACTCGAAAATTTCTAAGATCTCCATAAAGTGAATTATTTATTATTTAGTGCCACAATATAACATCCAGTAGAGGAATTAGTTAAATAATTAATACATGAACCATTAAAATTAACTGTAGGGGGCAAAAATAACGTCTTGTAATGCGTAGAATAGAAACTTTAATATTGCCAAAGTGAGTTTGGTAAACTTTTGGAAATAAAAAATATTATTAATAGTGGCTAATTTAATCCTCCTGTATTAATTTTTGTTTAGTCTAAAGATAGAGGTGAATAATTATTGGAAATGGTTAGGACTTCTTTTTTGAATACTTAAATTAAAATCGAAAGAATAGATTCAGTATTTTAAAAATATTAATTTTTTTTTAATAAATTAATATAGGATAAGTCTAAATAAGATAGAGAAATTATTATTGAATAATTCAGATTAGGTAAGATTTGGGCTTTGATTTGTACAGATTTAATGGCTAGAGGTATTGATTTTAAAGGAGTTAATTTAGTTATTAATTATGATTTTCCAACTACTATTATTAATTATATTCATAGAGTCGGAAGAACTGGAAGAGCTGGTAGAAGTGGTAAAGCTATTACTTTTTATACTAATTAAGATAAGCCTATATTAAGAAATCTTGGAAATATGCTTAAAATTTCAGGGTATCTTATTTTTTTTATTTAATTGGAATTTTTTAAATTTATTTTTATTTTTAGATGTGAAGTTCCTGAGTGGATTTTTAGTTTGCAAAAAGCTGATAAAAAAACACTTAAACATATTGAAAAATTCCCTATTAAAAGGGAAAATATATCATTAGATCCTGAAATGTAAAAATAAGATGATAAAGAATTCGAGAATTAAATTAGAATCGCAGATGGATAGTTTTATAGTCTTTAAAAAAAAAAAAAAAAAGAAGAAAATAACGAAGATGGTGGAAAATGGTAAATTGCTTGAAATTTGGATTTTTTTTTTTTTTAATATTCTTTTTTTTTTATTATAAACTTTTATTTAAATTGTAATTTATTAAATTTATCCACAAATTAATTTATTCATTTTTAAAAAAATAAATTAAATATTTTATTTTATTTTTCTTTTAATTATTTTCAAATATTAATTAAAAAAAGAATGTTTAAAATTGGAAGTTTAAATTGGGCATCTTCATTTATTTTATCAAATGTTAAACTTTTATAAAAACAATATATAAATATTTTTTTAAACTAGATTTTATAACCATATTTTAAAGGATTGAATACATAATAAGTAAAAGTAGGATTATGGGAGGGTATTTTTTGTTATATAACAAAATAAAATTTCTAATATAAAATTTAAAATAAAAAAGGTTCTTTAGAATTATAAAATTTAGAATTAAAACCAGAAATAATATCTAATTTAAGCTTATAATTACTTCATAGTTAAATAAATAAGATAAAAATAAAAATTCCATGGAAGAATATAACAAAAGAAGTTTATTTTTTAAAAAAAGTATAAATATATAAATAAAAAAAGGGAATATAAATAACAATTGAAGGTCTATAATTAACATTAAAGTATTAAGAAAACTAAAATTAAATGTCATATGAATAAATAAAGGAGAAAATGTAAAAAATAAAAGAAGAAACTTTGAAAAACTATGATGAATAATAAAATATAACTAATGATGAAAAATAATAAGGTTATTTTGCAAAAAAACTAAATTAAGCACTTTAAAATTTTTCCTTGAAAATATTAGATTCATAAATTACTTATATTTATTAAATAAATGTTAATGAAATAGCTAAAGTTCATTTAAAAATAAATGAAATCAATATAAATGAATTAAATAATAATCGAAATTAGAAAGATTTTAAAAAAGGATATTTTTAAAAAAATATTGTTATTAATGAACTTTTATTATTTTTTGATTTTTATGAATTACCAGAATTTGAATACAAAAATGTAAAAAATTAATTCATCAATTTTTTTTTTATATATATAAATATATAAAAGTTTCAAAAGAGTGAATAGTTTTTAAATCAAAGTATTATAAGTAATTAAAGCTATAATTCAATAAACTAAAATGATTATACTAGTGAGGAAAATCTAATATTGAAAATTTAAGATATCTAAAGCATTGTAAAATTTAGTTATCATAACGAATTTAATATATAAATAGCTATTAATACTAAAGGTATTGAAATTTATTTTTAATAATATTAAATAAGATTACTTGTTAAAGCTATTCGTAGTATTTTAAATTAAAGAAAAGATAGACCTTTAATCAAACCTTTTTAAAAAAGTTTTTTTTTTTTATATAATATATACTTATTAATATTTTAGCAAATAAACTATAACTATCAGGAGCTTAATAATGGTGGATTTATTTAGGTATTCTAAAATAAATTTTTATTTAATAAAATAAATAAAAAAGGAAATCGAGTTATTGAAGAAAATAAAAAATTTGATAAAATAAATATTATTAGTATTTTATAAAAGCTAAAAGACTTAAAATACATAAAAATTTATACAATAAAATAGATTAATAAAAATTTGCTAAATGAAGTCTCAAATGTAAAAATAAAATATTAATAAAAAAATTTTAATAAACTAATATAAATTATAGGAATTTTTAAATAAATATGAAAGTAATAATTCTTTAAGTCAAATAATTTGGTAAAGATAAATAGCATTAGAAAAACTTTAAGAAATGAATGAAAATTTATAATAAGATGATGATTTAATACAAAAATAAATAGCTTAAAAATGGTTTTAAAATTTAAATAATAATTTCATGATAAAAGTAAAAATATATATATTTTTTGATATAAAATAAATATAATTATTTAATATTTAATTAAAGACTTTAGAAAATTAAAAATTATATTAATATATAAATTTTAATTTATTAAAATATTAAAATGAAAATTAATTTTTATTTGATTTTAAATTATAAAGCCTTAAAATTATTATTTAAGAAAATTTTTTAATTAGTGATATTAAAAACTTACATAATTAAGTTTTTTTATTTAAATAAGAATTGAATTCTTAAAAAAATTTACAAAAAAAAGGTAATTAATTATAAATAAATTTAAAAAATAAGTTTAATAATTTTAAAAAAAGTTTTAAATCATTTAACAAATAATTTTCTCTCAGAATTTTACTTAAAAAATAAATAAAAAATACATAATGATTAAAACAAATCAAAAACATAAAATAAATAAAAAAATAAAAATAAATAATTATTAAAGTTAGAAATGGATACTTTTCGTTTATAATATTAAAAAAGCAACTAATAAAATATTTTAAAATTTTAATTTAAATCATTTTTAGGATTTGATTAATAAAAGAAAAATATTCATTACAATTAATTTATTAGTATTCCAAAAGGATTTAAATTTTTAATAAAAAGAATAAAAGTTAAAATTGAACATTAAATTAATATAATTAATAATAATATTGATATTGAAATCCCTGAAATAAGTTTTGTTTTAGCAAAATAATTTTATGAAAGGTGTAAAATTTTAGTTTCTTTAGTTTATTTTAAAAATGAAAAATAATAAGAAAATAAATTTTAATATAGAGATAATTTAATATTTAATAAAATTCTACAAAACTATAATTATTAAAATAATAAATATAATATTTCTGTTTCTTTAAATAGAATTAACTTTTATTTTCCTTAAAATTATTAAATTAAGTCTTAAATATTGCTTTTATAACTAAAAAACTTTAAAATATCAAAAAGAGATTGTGATATTTTGGAAATAAATGAAAAAGTCACAGAAAAAGAAGTAAATAATTTAAATTTTTAAAAAATCAACAAAAATTAAAAAGAAAATAGATATTTAACATGTTTTTATTAATATTGATAGTTTAAGAATTATGTTTGTAAAAACATATGATTGGGAATAATATGAAAACATATTTTTAATAAATTAAGAAAATATAGAGAAGAGTTATTAATAATAAAATACTTAAACCAATAATAAGAAAATAAAGAAACCTTATACAACTATATTAGAAACACTTCCAATAATAATTTAAATAGATGAAATAGTAAAATATGTTAATATAACACACAATCAATATAAAATTCCTTAGTTATAAAAGATTTTTTAATATAAAATTATTCATCCTAAATATTATTAAGTATTTATTATAGTTATTTATAAAAAATATACTTTATATTTAATTTTTTTTAAGATTTCAATAAATATTCCGTTTTTAGAGCTAAATATTGATTTTAAATAAATGTGTATCCTAAATTATTTATTTAATATATGGCTTATTGAAAAGACTAATCTTTTTGAATCAATAGATGACGAGAATCAATAAGTATAAGAAACAAGACTAAGAAAGATAATAGTTTATGTAAAAAATTACAAATAATTTTAACAAAGTTAATTCATAATTTTTTTAAAATATTATTTTATTTTTAGAATTGTGAATAAAAATAAATAAAAAGTTTGATTAATACGTTTACCATAAATAATATAGCATTAAATTTAGATGGATTAATGATAAAATTTTAATTTAATAATAATAAAATATAGGAAAATAAAAATATATAATAAATTCATTCATATCAATTGTTTTCTTTTTATTTAAAAGACCTAAAATTAATACTTATTGAAAAAATATTTACTTAAAAAGTTAAATTGTCAATTAATACTATACTTTTTATAAGAAATGTAATTATTTTTTTATAAAAAATGTGAAATATTTATATTTATTTTTAAAAGAATTGTTATTAATTTTAATTAAAATAACCCTTTAAAGAATAAATTTATACGTTATTGGAAAAAAGCGATTTTACACAGTACTATTAAGGAGAATAAAATAAAAAAAGTAAGGATTAAAAAGAAATAATTCCCCAATAAAAGTTATAATGTAAAACTTAATTAAATTAAAGTAATTTTTTAGATGATATATCAGAATAAAATTAAGAAATCAATTATGAAAAATGTTTTATTTATATATATTTATAAGCAATAACATATTTTATTTTATTTTAGTTTTTAATGAAGATTTAGAAATTTTTAATCTTTTAAATTAAATATCGGGCATATAAAATATAGAACTAAAGGTAAAAACTTAAAAAAGTAAATAAGAAACTCAAAAAACATCAAAAGAAAGAAACTTTTTCGAAAGTGATTTTGAAAGTTATATATAAAATGATGTCTTTATAAATGAAAAATTATAAAAAAGTAAAGTAAAAATAAAATAGAATTAAATATAAAAAATAGATGAAAAGAAAAAATGTGATATATGTTTTAGACAAAAATAAGAAACATAAAATAATTTAATTATAAATTTTATTGATAAAAATAATAAATAAGAAAATGAAAAACCAGATTTAAACTTAAATATTATATTATAGAAAGATATTGAAGCTAAAAGTGTATAAGAAATCGATATTGAGTTGAATTTAAAATAATCTATTTTAGTACTTGATCCATAAATGATTTAATAAATTATATTAATTATTGAAATGATTGAACTTTTTACTAAAATTCATGTTTAAAACTTCATTTAATATATGAAAGTCTCAGGTTTTTGGCCTGATTTGTATTAAGGTTTAATAATTTTTTGTATTATTTTTATTTCATTTTTTTTATTCAATTAAGATGATAATTCTGAAGATAATTTAAAATTAAATAAAAATCTAAATAATAAATTAATTTAATGTAACATATAAACATAAGGAATAACAATATTACTATTTCATTAACAAGTAAAATAAAAAAATATTATAAAAAAAATAATCAAATAAAAGGAAAATATTTACGTATTCAATATAGAAGATTTTTAAATATAAATAAATGAAGAGAAAATGATATAAAACATATTTTTTACAGGAAAAAATCTAATTTTATAAGAAACCCATGAAAAAACAGGCTTTTATCCATAAATAATAGGTAGTCTTTAGGAAAAATAAAACTAATTAATAGGAAAATATATATAATATAAAGATAGATAAATTATAGGATTATAAGAAAATTAATATTTTGGAATTAAATTAGAAAATATTTAATACAACTTTTTTAAAAAAAGTACTTCTGAATTATAATTATATATAAGATAGTATATAATTCAATCTTTTTGTAATTAAATTACTTAATAAGATGAATAAGAAATAATAAAAAATATTGAAAAAATAATAAACTTTTAAGGAAAAAAATAATTTTATTATTTAGAAAATAATTATTTTCTTAAAAATGAAAAAAAAGATTAAAAATAAACATTTAGATTTGAAATATGTATTTTAAATTCATTAATCATTGGATTTAGAAACTCTTTATCAGAAGAAGCCTTATATTTAAGCTGTTAAAAAGTAGGAATATGGAATACAGGTATATTTTTTTTAAATAAAAGATTTTTAAATAAATTTTAAAAATAAAAAGGTATTTGGGGAAGTTGCTTTGGAGAACTTATAATAAAAGAGAAATTAGAAAAAAATGAAAATGAATTTGATGAATTTTAAGATGTTGAAAGTACTTTTTAAAATATACAAAATGAATTAAGTTAAACTAAAAGCTAAAAAAGCATTTAGAAAGAATGCAATTAAATCACAGAAACCAAATAAAATTTTTCGGAAGATTATTAAAGTTTTAAGCAAATAATAAAAATGAATTGAGTATTTCTTAGGATGAAAAATAAGCCTTTTTGAGAATTGTGATTTATGAACTAAAAGTTAATACAGAAAAATAAAAAGATAAAACAGAAAATTATTTTATTAAAACAACAGATGATAAGAATGAAATAACAATTGATATTATTTATGAAGATCTCTTATTTAAAATATTAAATGAAGGAATTAATAAAAAAGAAATCGATTATAATAATCCTATGAAAGGTATTTTTAATTTGTATTTTGGTATTTTTTATTTTAAACTTTCTTTTTTTAATAGTTCGAGTGAGAATAAATGAATTAGATATTTAAATGATAGATTAAGATTATAAAATAGCTTGTAAATTTTTTTAAGAAAATTTAGGCGAACAACCTTAAGTTGTTATTCCGAAAAACTAAACATAATCTTATAATGATTAAGTATTTAATTAAACTAAATAAAACAAAAAAACATATATTTAAATAATTTATTTGATTTAAATAGTGTTGGTGCTATGTTTATATCAGTTTATATAAAAGTAACTTAATAACTTTTGAAGAAGATAAAAATATAATTACGTAATAAAAACCTCTAGTGAAGTTTATATTAAAAGGTTTTCTTTTTTTAAAAAAATAAAAATAAAATAAAAAATTAAAAGATGCTTTTTTTAAACTTTATCTTATAAATTATGGAGGAAACATTCAAAAATTATATATCGGATAAATAAATATAGAAGATTTTAGTGAAAATACGAACAAAATAAACATTTTAAGTGATTTAAATTTATATGAATTCGGATTATAAGACGATAATAATTCAACATTAGAATAATTATAAGAAGATATGGAAGAAGAAAGCGTTTAATAACTAATTTCTTAAAGTGATATTGAAATTGATGAAAATTTTGATTAAGAATAAGAAGTAAGTGAAATTTAAAATAATGATTTTTAATAATAATAATATGATTTTGAAAAAAAATAAGTAAATATATAATTTTTGTTTTAATTTCAAATATTATTATATAATATATATAAAAAAAATAGAATTGTAATAAAATAAAAAAAAGAGGATTCTTCAAAAATATAATAAGATTTTTCAAAAAAATATGTTTAAAAAGAAAAAAAGAAAAATAGAATTTAGTTTAAAAAATGTCAGATGAAAATATCATTATACATAATAATTAAGAAAAAGTAGCAAAAAATATAAAAAATATAAAAATAATTTATAAATAAATAAAATAAAAAAAGGAAAAGTTGAATGCTAAATCTATAAATGTGACTAATAAAATGACAATTTTATATAGCCATAAATAATCTAATTAAGTAAAAAGTTTAAATAATTGCTTTAAAAAAAAATATATAAAAATATAGATATTGAGTTAAACATATAAAAAACCAAACATATATAATTAATATTCAAGTAAACCAAAGCAAATTAAAGGTTTAAAAGATTGGTCTTTAGATAAATTTTAATAAAGAAAACCTATAATATATAAATTAAATTAAGCTTTAAAAAAAACAATATCTAACATAGATATAGATTATGATATGTTATAATAAGGTAAAAAAATAATATTTTTTAGAAAAATATATAATAAAAGAATATAAATAAATAACTGGAAAAGACCAAAGAAAATCAAAATGTGATTTTAGATATATATTTCGTTCAAGACCTGATGGCGAAAAGTTAATAAAAATGATAATTGAAAACAAATAATTATTTTTATCTCCAGAAATAATCGAAAAGTTAATTCTTTTTTTTAAAAAACCTTTTAATGGTTCTGATTTTTAACCATTAATAAAATAGCCTTTATATTTTAATAATTATCCATAATTTATAATAGAAATAAAAGTAAGAAATAAATGAATGCTTATATTAATTTTGTTTAATAAATAAAAAGGCACAAAATTTTATAATTTATACTGAATATGAAGATAAAGAAGAAACTAAAAGTTCATTTTAAAATACTTCTGATATAAATAAATGCATAAGTCATTAATATTCAATAAAATAATCAATTCCCTTATCTTTTTAAACAACTCAAGTCTAAAAATAAAGCACTAATTATTAATATGTGACATAATAGAAACTTGTTTTATTATTAGATTGTAAATATACACATAAATGGAAAGGAGATTGCCAAAATGGGCCCGGAAGTGTAAAAATAGGAGTGGATTTAGAAATAAAGAAGTTTGCTTTATCAGAAAAACAAAAAAAAAAATATAATTGTTAATTTAAAAAGCAGTCTTCATATTTTTAATTAAATAGAGCTATTTCTTATTAATTTAAAGATTCTGTATATGTTTAAGAAGAATGTTTTTCATAGTAACCAGAATAGATTTAAGTTAATTTTATTTTAAGAAATGTAAAAATAAATGTAAAAACTTTATTTAAAATGGATTTTTATTAAAAAAACGAAAATAAAAAATAAACTAATAATAATGCTTATCAATATTTTAATTTCAGCATTTTAAATAATAAAAAATTTAGAAACGAGCATACTCTTTCTTTAAATACACTTTTTAAATTAATAAAAATAAGTAAAACTTTATTTTCTTTTTAAAAAGAAAAAACATAAATCAATGAATAATAAATTTAAACCAAAAACGAAGAAAAAAGTTAAGAACTTTTCATTATTTATATAAGTAATTTTGATATTAAAAAAACATAAATTGAACTACTCAAAAGTGGCTTTGGAATAAAAACATTTCAATTAAATATTAAAGATATATAAGGTAAGTAGATATAAAAATAAAATAATAAATTATTAGTTATTAAAGGATAATTAGAAATTAATTATTTTAATAAACATAAAATCGTCTATGAGCCATTACTTGAACCATGGAAGTTTTTAATAAAAGAAGAAAAAAAAAAACCAATTCGTCACTTTTTGGTCAGTAATTATGAATCAAAGAAAGTTTTATAAATGATTCCGTTATTAAAACAACATAATAATTCATTTAATTTAAATGTTTCTTTAGCTTGTTTAGAATAAATTGTTGAAATTTATAAAAAACTTAAATAAAAAGATGGTTCGGATGAAGAAGAACCATATTTTATCATAAATAAGACTGGGTTTTCATTAGAAATTAGAGATTTCGGAAAAGATAATAGGCCAGTTTAAGTAATTGAAGACGGAAATAGAAAAAAATGGTTAGGATGGGAAGAAATGTATACTATGTAAAAGAAAAAAGAAATGAGAAAAAAAGATAATGGAGAAAGAAAATAAGCACTTGTTAATATAAATATAATTTAAGAAGAAGAAGAGGACTTAAAAATTCAAATAAATGACATTTTATAAGAAAGTAAAGAAATGATAGAAATAAATGTTTAAGAATAAAATAAAGAATCATAATAATAGGATAAAAGAAAAAAATTATAATCTTTAAAAAGCAACATTTTTGGAATTAATAAAAAAAAAAATATGTATTTTTATAGATAAATAAAGAAAATATCTTTAGATAATATTGGAAAATATTTAATAATTTTAAAAAATGATGATGTAGAAATACTAGAAGAAAAAAACTCATTAAAAAGAAACATTACAATTAATCATAATGTTAAAAATAATGCAGATAATATACTATAAAAAGAAGAAAATAATATAATTAAATTATTCTAAAGTAATATAGTATAATTAACGGAAAACATTAATAAGTTTGGACAAGATTTGATAAAAACAATCATTAATAAAAAAATAAATGAAGATGGAAATACTTATTTATTAATAGATAATAAGATAAATCAACTAACCGGTTCTAAAGAAATAACAATATCATCTTCGGCGAGAATTTTTAATAATTTAGATATAATTATTAATATAAACATAATCAATAAATATAAAAAAAGTAAAGATTTTTTAATATTCCCAAACACCTTTTGGGAAATTCCACTACATTATCTCCAAAATGATACTGAAATTAAATTCTCCGAAAAAGAAAATAAAGACAATTATGACTATTTTTAGCTAAGTTTTATTTTAAGAGACAAAACATCACTAAAAGATTACGAAATAGACGAAGAAGATATTTTTTAGGAAATTTTAAATGAAAAAAATAATAAATAAAGACTCATTTTTAAATAAGATTTGGAAATAATTCCCATATATAATGAATAAAGTCCACTTTTAATACTATCTTGTGTTAAATAAAAAGTATATTTTGGCAATCAAAAAGATTATGCTTATGAAACAATACTTATTTTAAACCCTATGTTTAAATTCCTAAACGCAACTGCTAAAGATATTCAAATAAATTTTGGATTTCCACAAAGAAAAATCTGGAAAGAATAAATATTAGGGATATGTGAAAAAGAAAGGCTTTATTGGTGTAAAGAAATAGGTTTTGGGGATGATTTGACTATTAAAATAGGATATTAAATGTTTTAATAGAAAAACTGTTGGAAAGTCTATGGAAAAAAAGAGTAGAAATATAAATTAGACATTGTTTTGTAACATGAATAGAATAAATCTAATATAATTTTATATATAGAAGCAGTAAAAATATCATAAAAAGTTAGATAATTTATCCTTTTTTGCCCATTTTTTATTCTAAATAATAGTCCTTTAAATAAATTAAAATTCAGGGAATTCGGATATACAAGTAAAATAGATTTTAATGAAGAAAAATAAACAGATTCATAAAAAAAGCAGTCTTTTAAATAAAATTCATTTTTATATAAATAAGAAAATTATATTAATAATTCTGCAAAATATAATAAAAAAGATAGAGAAAATTATATTTTTGAGATAGAAAAGTAAAATATTTAATACTTAAAAAACATGAAAATGTTCTCAACTTCCAAACATATGAATAAAATATAAGTTGGAATATCTGATAAAAATGAGAGATATTAATCATGGAGTTAACCGATATCTTTACAATCTACTAATTCAGTTTTACAAATTATAGATCCTGTATATTATGATAAATAAATATAAATATATATATATATATATATATATATATATATATATATATATATATATATTTTTTTTATATGTATATATATATTTATTTATATTAAAAGGATGATAGAAAAACTTAATATGATCTTTCTTTAAAAATTGAAAATATGCAAGGATTTTATAATAGAACTAAAGTTTTAGTAATTACTCCTAAATTTTTTTTTAAGAACTTATCATAATATCATTTGTTAGTTAAATAAATTGATGTAAATGATTAAGATTTTATATATTTAGAACCTGTATAAAATAAAAGATTAGTCTAATAATATTTTTGGCAGGATTTTAAAGGAAAATAGTAACTTCAGATTAGCTTTGTTAAAAATTCTAATTTATTTGATTCTTAATAAGCTAGTGTTTCTTAATAAGTTTTTAATTACGATTAAATAAATTATTTATAATGGTCAAACAGCTTTAAAATAGATAAAGTATTTATTTTTTTAATATAACAAATAAACTAAAATATATAAAAGATTTGTAATATTGCTGTAAAAGTACCTAAAATAGAAGGAAAAAATTTAGACGATAATTAGTATATATATGTAAAAATAAGTGTAGTTTTATAAGATAATATACTTATAACAACTTTCTATAATGAAGATATAGAAAATCCACCTTTTTCGTAATTAATAGAACGAAATATGAAATATATATAGCATAATATATAGAATAAAAAAGAAAAATATTGAAGAATTGTTTAAAGAAAAGATAAAAAATTAAAATTAAAAATAAATTTAAACAGTTTTGGTTTTACCAGGATAAAAAATAAGATTTACATGGGACTAATGGGTAGTAAAGGAGCATATTTTAAATGTAGAAATCGAAGATGAAAAAGAGCTTTATAATATTGACAAAATAATAGACTATCCTCCAATAAAAATAAAAGAATTATTAGATGAAAATCAACGAAAAGTTCTATATATATATATATATATATATATATATATATATATATATATATATATATATATATATATATATATATATATATTTATTTTCTTTAAGATAGAAAAATATCAATAAGAAATTCTTGTATAAAAAAGGTAATCTTGAAATTGCTTAAAAAGCTAATGAATAGCATGAATTAATGTTTGTTATTTTAGATGTTTTTAAATAAAAGATGAAAATATATGATGGAAAAATACAAAAATAAAGTTAAGTTATTAATTTAAAAGTAATTTTTAAGAAACAAATAGAATTAATTTATTTTTTAATAAAAAAATAAAAGGGATGTTCTTTAGAAGAATCGAAAGAAAATTAATTTTTAATAAATAAAACAGGAAATATAATTTGTAGTTGTAAAACTTCTAATATAAAAGAAACAAAAGAATGGATAAATTATATATGGAGAGCAATTTTATTAACAACTCCAGATACAGTATAATTTAAAATTGAATTAATGTAACATACAAAAGTTGAAAAAAATAAAAATAAATAAATAATAATTATCAAAAATAAAATAAAAAAGGTAATGTGTTTTTATTAAATAAAATATGAAGAAGAATCAGAAAACAAAGAAATATAAGAAAATGAAGAAAATAAACAAATAATAAATATTAAAAAGATTTAAGATAATTCCGAAAAATAAACTATTTTTACATTTTAAATCACAAACTTTATCGGAATTTCATTCATAGATAATGATCCAAAAGAAATTCTTTAAATTTCATTAAAAAATACTGCCTTAACATATTCTCAAAATATCGAAACATAAACCAAACTTAAAAAATTCGCTTAAAAAATTCTCCTTTAAGAAGTAATGAGCTTAGAAAAAACATTAACATTAGATGAAATAAAAAATAAAGACAAATACTAAAAAAAATAAGATAAAATATAAAAACAATTATTAATTTTTTAAATGGATTCCCTAATAATTAATAACTAAACTGAAAACACATAATTCCCAGTAATATTTGCACCTATTAAAAGAAAAAAAAAGAAAGAAAATTAAAACTAATAAGAAAATCCATTTCTAATATTTACTATTTTAGCGAAAAAAAGTGACAAAAATTTACTGTTTTCTCATATAAATTAAATGAACTTTTACATAGAAACGACAGAAATACGTATTGATGATCATATTTTAGATGTAATAATTACTTATTGGAATCAAATAAGAGATATATTTGCATCTTTAGGCAAATAAAATATACCAAAAGTTCCTATAATTAACTTTTTGAAACTATAGATGGACATTTCAATAAACGAGAATAATGAAAATATACAAAATAAATAATATATTCGCTATATAAAGAATTTAAGAGTAGAATCTATTGATATTTGTTTCACTTTTAGATCTTCTCCGGGACATTCTTTAACAGCCTTAACGAAAAATATAATTTCCGATTTTGGATTAACACTTGCTAGTATTGATTAAGCAAAAATAAAACTCAATTTATTATAATAAACGCATATTTTTTGTAGTATTTAGGACATTATTACTAAACTTTATAAGCATTTTTCTTAATAATTTATGAGATAATTATATAAATTACTAGGATCATTTGATTTGTTAGGAAATCCGGTTTCACTTATTGAAAATCTAGGAATTTCAGTCGTAGATATGTTTTATTAGCCATTTTATTTACTTGCAAAAGGAAAAAGTGGATTTTAGTTTGGAGAATAATTTGCTTTAGGAACTTTTAAATTAATTTCTTCGAGTATTTCTGGTGTTTATAAAACACTTAACAAAGTAAAATATATATAATATATTTCTTTTATTAAAAAAAACATTAATATATAGATACTTGGTACTATAATGAAATTATTATGTAGCATTACTTTCCATAAATAATTTATCTAAGGTAGATAATTAAGAGTAAACAGGACTTTTAAAAATGTCAAAGAAGGATTTATTATAGGGATAAAAAATTTTTTTTAGGACCTATGGGAGGCTTTTACTGGAATAGTACTAAGTCCAATATATGAAGCAAAATAAAATGGTTTTTTTGGATTTTTTAAAGGCATATATTAAGCTTTTGTATGTATTTTTATAAGACCAACAGTCGGTTTATATGATTTAATAATTGGAATAGTGGAAGGGTTAAAAAACAGCGCTTTATATGAAGAACATATAATGGATTAAAGAAGTAGACCAATAAGATAGTTTGGGGAAAACAGAGAAGTTATTGTATATAATTTTTAGACTGCTTTAGCCTTTGATATTATTGGGAGGTATAAATTTAAGCATTATAAGCATGAAATTATATTATTTTTCGATGATTTACATATAATAAAAAATGGATTCAAAAAAATATTGGAAGCATAAATTATTGTGTCAGATATTAGAATTCTTTTTGTGAAAAAAAATAACTCTATTTCTAATAAAAATATTATGCTTCATAAAATCAAAAAAATTGTATTCGTTTCTAATGAATTACTTTTGGGTATTTATATGCATATTCCTTTTAAAAAATTATTTAGAAATAAATATTCTATGCATATTAAATATGAAAGCTTAGCTAAGGCAGTAAGACTTTTAAATACTATTAAATAATATTAAAATAATTAATTAATTCCCAATTTCGATATTTGCTTTAATTGATTTATTTTTATAAAATTTAATATTTTTTTTTATATTATTAAAAAGTTTTTTGCAAATATTTATTTTTTATATTTTCGAAATTACTAATGAAAAATAAAATAAATTCTATAATTTTATTATATAATGAAATAGTAAATTTTATAAATTAAATATATTATTGAATATATTTATAGTTTTTAATAATACATAATTGAAATTTTAATTAAAAACAGTTAATAAATAAAATTATGTTTTTAGTATACTTTTTATAAATATTTTCATATTTAATTTTTTTTTAACAAAACATTAAATAGTAAAATTCACAATAATCTAAAAAAAAAAATTAAAATTCAAAAAAAATAAAATAACAAATAAATAATTTTTTTTTAAAAAAATATATAAATAAAAAATGGGAAATTGTCGATATCAAAAAGCCCTTTAATAATAAATAATATTTGAAAAAAATTTAATTTAAGAAAAGAAGTAATTAAATCATGAAGAGGAAAAAAAAATACGTAAAAAAAAAAGATATAAAAAAAAACTCAATTAAAAAATAAAAATAAAAGATAAAGAGTCAAATGACACAACATAATCAAACACAAATCAAAAAAGTTAAAAAGAGCACAATATTTAAAAAAAAGAACAAATATATCAAAATTAGTCATATTAATATATCCAAGATAATCTTCCATTTGCATTTATTCGACGCCCAGCTCCTAATTTTACTGGAATAGCATATTATTAGGGTTTCCAGAAAATATAATTGCGCGATTACTTAGGTTAATATGTAATTTTATTTTTTTTTCCAAGTAATCTATAAGAATTCTGTCGTTTAGAAATTTTAGCATTTTCTAACTTAAATGAATAATTTAGAAAATTAGATTGCCAAATAATCGGTTGTTCTACAGATTCACAATTCATACATATGAATTATTGCCAAAAAAAAATATCTGAAGGAGGTCTTGGTGATTTAAATTTCCCTTTATTATCTGATTAAGATAGGTAAATATCTGTAAATTACGGAGTTTATATTGAGGAAGATTCATAGGATTATTAAAAAGGTTTTTTTTTATATATAATATAAAATTATAAAAAATGCAAGTAATAAAATATAAATATAAAAATAAAAATAGGTGCATGCTATAGATCTACATTTATAATTGACTAAAATTTAATATTAAGACATATATCAATAAATGATATATCAATATCAGTAAATCCTGATGAAATTTTAAGACTTGTAAATACATTTTAATAAAATGATAAATAAAATCCTTAATAAAGACCAAGTATAATATAAGGATGTCCATTTGCAAATCAAATGCGATAACGTGTAAGTAATCCCGATATAGATACATTTTCCCGGTATTAAAAGAAAAAAGTTGAAATTGAAGATGAAAATGATTAAAAAGTGAAAGATTTTATACCTCCAAATGGTCGTTAGAGTGTTTTAAGTAATTCAAATAAACTAAACACAATAACTAGGGAATCATAATAAAAGGATTTACTAAAAATCAATAAGGAAAGTTAAAAAACATTATTTGATAGGTTAGGTGGAGATGAATAAATAGAAGAATTAACAGATAGATTTGTATAATATATGTTCTAAGATTCTCTATTAAAGTCTTTTTTCATGAATACAACTAATTAAAGTAAATAAAAAAAACTTATTTCGGCCTTTTTTAAATCCTATTTTGGAAGTGGAGTGCGCTATTAGGGTAAAAGTATGTAAGAATCTCATAAAAATCTGAATTTAAATGACGACCATTTCAACAAAAGTTCTGAATGTTTAAAATAAGCTTTAAAAGAATTAAAGTATTCTCCATAATTAATATAAGATGTAATGATTTTTGTAGAACCTTTGCGTTCATAAATAACTTAAAGGCCATGTTTATCTCTATATGATAGAGTAGGTGGAGAATAGGGAATATAAAAATCCATAAATGCTTATTTTGACAAAATAATGAATATAAAAGAAATAAGACCATATTATAGTAAAGTTGATTTGGAAAAAACTAAAGATCTCTACATATAATATATTAGTTTAGTTTTTGGAGGACCAAAAAAATACTTAGGAAAATAAATGAAGTAATGTCATTAAAGCTACAATATTCCAGATAAGCTTTTTAATTATTGTGTTGCATAAATATAGTAATGTTTTAAAGAAAATGGGGTTGAAACTAATAATTTGAATGAAATTGGTAGACTTTTAGAATGCTTAAAATATGAAATTCCGAAAAAATCTAATATTTTATTCGATAGATTAGGAGGAACGGCTATCCTTTAAAAAGTTGTGAAAAAATTATATGAAGAAAAAGTACTTCATGATCCAAAGTTAAAGGATTTCTTCAAAAATATCAATATTGATTAATTATAACTTAAACTTGTTGAATTTTTTACAATGATTACTGGTGGAGCACATAAGTAATTTCTTTTAATAAAAATAAAAAAATTTATATAAAAAATAAAAGTTATTAAGGAAAAAGTGCAAAAGATGCTCATAAAACATATAATATAATGTCTTTTCATTTCGATATTTATAAAAATCATCTAAAAGACTCTCTATTAGAATTTTGTTAAAATAAAGAAGCTATAACTGAGTTTCTTAATCTCTTAGATACTTTAAGAGTTGATATTATAGGAGGAAAACCTCCTTCTTTATTTGAAAAAATGGGCGGCGAAGATGCTATAAATGCTTTTGCGGAAGGATTATTCACAAATATAATGAATGAAAGAAGGATAAGGCATTATTTTGAAAATGTAGATTTAAAACCATGTAAATAACATTTTAAAGAATTCCTTTATATGACTTTAGGCGGACCTTCAAAATATAGTGGTGAAAATGTAAGAGAATTACACGAATAGATGGATATAAGTACAAAAGATTTTAATGTATTTAAAGAATTAGTTGAAAAAACTGTACCATGTATAGGTATTGAAAAATAAAATTAAATAGAACTAATTTAATTTTTTGAATCAATGAGATAAATGATTGTTACTGTAGATTGAATATATTTTTATTTATAAAAAAATATTTTTTTTATATAATAATATATATATATATATAAATATATAAATGTATTTTTTAATTATATAAATGTTAATCTAAAAATTATATATTTTAACAGAAAAAAATAATAAAAAAAAATTATTTTTTTTATAAAAATTTAATAATTCAAATAAAGTTCAAAGACTTTTAACTAATTGTATGGATATTTATTTTACGGAAAAAAAATTAAAAATTAAACAAACATGGGAAATGTGCAATATATCCTAATAAAGTTCTTTTTATCCAAAAAAAAAAAAAAAGAAAAACAGATTAATTATAAGGTAATATTATTTTCTAAGCAAACTCTTTTTTTATGTAATAATTTGAAGCTTTATTTATGAATTATAAATAATTATTATGTATTTTGCGACAATAATTTTCATAAAAATCATTAACTGACTTTAGAAAAGGCATTTTTATATGAAAATTAGGTTTTAGATATTTTTTATTTTAAATAAATGGAAGAAAAATAATACTATTTTTCAGAAATTCGGACAAATAACAAGAAACTATAATATAAAAAGAATAATAAATATTAAATGAAATAATCTAATTTTTTACATATTTATAATTTTAAGAAAAAAATAAAATAAAAAAGGTAATTTAAATGATTTAAAAACTCTAAAAAGAAAAAGTATTAAAAAGAGATTAAACAAAAAAATTAAAAACAAATACTTAAATATTTTCGAATCAAAACTAAAATGTTCCTAAAAAGAAAAAATTATTTTCTCTCCATAAAAAAATAATAAACATTTCTAAAAGAAAATTCGATTTACAAAAATAAAAAATCTTTAAAATATAAATAATTTAAAAAAATATAAAAATACTTAAACACATAAGTAATTTTTAAATCTCTATAATTCAGTGAGAAAAAATAAGAACAAAATTCAAAATTATAAACACCACTAACCATATCATATTTTTTTTTAAAAATATTTAGTGTAACTAACAATAAATACCAAAAATCTTCAATAACAACAAAATAAAAATCTCAAATCTAATTAGGAATAAAACAAACTATATAATATATTTAACTTTCAGTGATTTTTCAAATATAACACTTGAACTCATCATCGAAAGTATAAATATATAATTTCTTTATATAAGTAATTGAATATAAAACCAAACAAGATTACCTTCATTTATATTCAAAAAAATTTTTCTTATTATTTTAAGAAGGAAATAGATGGCCAAAAAACTGATAAAATAAACTTATAAACTAACTGAATTTTCATTTTCTCCTTAAAAATTTCTTAAAAGAAATTCCCTTTATATAATGTTCCCCTTAAATATTATGAAATAATACTCATAAGCGGAAAAGACGTAAAAAATTAACTAAAAGAATGCGAAATATATAAATTTTAAACTTTTAAAATACAATAGCTTCCTTATATGAATGCCTAAAGATAAGAAATAAGTTTATTTTTTCGGAGGATATATTTAATTATAGTTTTAGGAGGTTTTGATGAGCAAATGATAAATAAATATAAAATATATGAAAATAAATGGGAAATTTTTCAAAACTTAAAACAAAGAAAATACATGCATAATTCATTAATTTACATATAAAATTAAATAAAAAATTCATTTATTTTTAATAATAATATTTTCCATTTCTTTATCTTTTTCAATTTTTATCGAATCAATTTTCGCTTCAGGAAATTTTTCTAAAAAAACTTTAAATTTTTCCTTATTTTTTTCTTCATTTTCTTCTTCTTTTTCCTTATATTTTTATTACAAAAACTTCACTTTTTTATCTATATCTTCTTAATTTTCTATTTTCTCGTTTTCATATTACCCTTTAGTTATAAAAACAGCCTTTTATGAATCTATTTGATAAAAATCTCCCTTATTTTCTTTAAAAAGGACATTATTAAATGCTTGAATGATAGTTTTTATAATTTCTTAATTCTTATTTGAACAAGTGAAAAGTCCCTCGGCATCATACTTAGCGGAAAAAAACCTTAATATACTCCAAATAATTTTCTTAGTTTCTAAATCAACTCCTAATTTTTCAAATAAATCATATTTAGTTCCTAAAAGAATTATTTTTTAATTTTTTTGCTATTTTTTTATTTCCTCAGTCCAAAAAAATAAACTATTTAATAATTAACTAATATTCGAAAGATCTAATATTATTACAAAATAAAGTTCTTTTTCTTCCTAAAAAGAGCTTATTATTTATTTTAATTCCCTTCCTCCACCTAATTCATATATATTTATTAATTCTTATCTGCTTTTATTAGAAAATCTTATAAATTAAAAATCTATTCCGTTTGTTGGAATATATTTATCATCGCCTTAATATTGACTTTTTAAAATGTTTACAAATGAAGACTTTCCTGATGCTTAATCGCCGCATATTACTAAGGTTTTTTCAAGATTTTTCTAGTCTTTTTATATTTGTGAATTTTATAATTATTAAACTATAGTATTCATTTCGTATTTATTTTAAAAATATTATATTTTAAATATAAAAAGGTTAAATTTTCTTTGTATTAATTTTAATAAAAAACTTTTGTTATATTATTTTTTATTTATACTTTGAATACTTTATATAATCTTAGAATTTTAAGATTACATTAAATATATTAAAATTATGTAAAAATATAAATTTTTTTAAACCTTATTAAAAATGTTTTGATTTTAAAGCATTTAAATATTTTATAAACATAAAGATATAAAAATGACTATATATAGAATATTATAAAGAGGATTTAATAATAATTATATTATAATTAAAAAAAATAATCAAAATATTAATAAATTTTTAAATAGTTTTTTTCAAAAACACTGTTTTACATTAAGAATTAATTTGCATTCAATCATTCAGATAAAATGAATTCAAATTCTAGAAATAATAAATAAAAATATACAGAGCTAAACAAAATAGTTTAATTATTAAATATTATAATTTAATTAATAAATAATACTTTTAATAAATTTGTATAAAGTTTCTTTTTATTTTTAATTTTATTATATAATAAATATTATATTTAAAAATAAAAAATATATAAAATTAAAATCATATTTTTTAAAAATAAAATATAATATATTTATTTTAAATATTTATAAAAATAAAAATATTTATATTTCTTATTATTATAAATATAAAAATTATTTGCTTTAATCTTACTAATTATAATTTTAAATTTTTATTTGTTAGTTACAAAATATAAATAAAATATATATTATATTTTTTAATAAAAATGTTATTATTTTATTATATATAAAAAAGGAAAAAAAAACATATGATTATTTTCTAAAACCAAAAATAAAAATATTACTTTTTATCTTTTTATTAATCAAAAATCTTTATTTAATAAATAATAATACTAAAAAAAAATGGATATTATATAACCTAATATATTGCTAATGACATCTCGCCCCAAAAAATCAGGAGCAAAAGTAGGGATACCAAAAAAGCTTATATCTAATTGTTATCCTATAGAATAACTTAAAAAAACAATCAACTCTTAAGATTTAGTTTGCTTTTAGTATGATGTTTAATTCATACCTGAAATAGAAGCTGATAACCGTGACTTAAGATACAAAATTTTTTAATGTGCAAAATCCTAAATTGAATATTTAATAGGAAAATTTTCGTTTTCAGGTTAGAGTCTATATATTTTAAAAGAACTTAATTAAGAAAATATCAACAAAGTAAATACTATACCTAATATCAAAGATAACAACACTACATATTAATTAAGACTAAAACTAGTTCAAAAGTTTACTTTTAATGAGGCAGAAGCCATGAATGAAGGTTCTTTAGTCCAAAAAAAGTCTAATAGAGTTATTTAACTAATCAACATAATAATAAAAGACGCTATGAGATAATAACTTAATTTCAAAGAAATTGGTAGAAATTCGAAATTTTTCGATACCTCTTAAGATTATACTATTAATGCTTTTAAAATTTTGAAAGGGACTACTTGTTCCGTATAACCTTCTGTTTCAGGCCTAAATTTAAGGGTAGACTATGCATGTAGAGTTTTATAAACAGAAACTGCCTTGTAAGTTATAATGAAAATTCAAAGATAAGGAACAGATGATTTTAAAAACTAAATAAAATAGGCATTCTAAGATGTATCTGTTATAACTGAATATAATAATTATTAAATCTACAAAATCGATGAAGTAGATTTCAATCAATCACCATAAAGTTTATTTTATCACAAAAAGAATAATACGAAAATATCATTTGAAAATTACTATTTTTAAACTTATTAAATTAAAATTAAGGATAAAAAGTAACCACTTCTTCTATCTAAAAGAAAGAGAAAATAAGGAGATAAGGTCATAATTGATGATATATATTTAATCCCAGAACTTTGTTTTATGACTGGTATGACGGATAGATAACGTAGCGATAAAACACTATTAAAATAATTATCTTAATATACTAAACTGGACCCTTAAAAAAGATAATAAGAAAGTTCTAATATGGTTAAAAAACTAGCATAACCTGTAAAATAAAGTGGTATTTTATTGAATACATAAGATCCTTTAGTTGATTCTGTGTAACTGTTTCCGCCTAATATTTATTTTGGAAAAGGGATTTTGAACCCTGAGAAAGGAAATTTCGATGTAAGATAACCAATAAAAAGCCCAGACTGCAAGTTTTAAGACTACATAATAATTTATTAAAGGAATGATTAAATCTAAGCAGATAATCTTTTCAATTGTATGAAAAAAGTTTCAGGATCTTATGGAATATAAATCCAAGAGCCTATATGGTTTGAAATGAATTCAAATGATGTAAATGTATGGATAAAATAATTAGATGATGATTTTCGTAAAAACGGTATCCCTTAATTTGTTATATCTATATCCTAATAATCTCATACATATAATAAATTAAAAGATTTTTTATACAATGAAGTAGGGCTAGAACATTAAAATTTAAAAGGAAGTTCTTTATAAAAAAATCAAATGAGTGTAGTATCGAAAATAGTACTATAGATAGCCTCCAAATTGGGATATTAATTATGGACAACTGAAAAGCCTAAAGAAATTTCGAAAAATACCATGATTATTGGAATAGAAACTTCTATAAAGAATGTTTTTGTGGGCAAAAAAATTAACAATGTTGTTGGGATTGTGGCTTCTTTGAATCCTGAATTTTCTAAATTTTACAATGAGGTGGAAATGAGATAACCTGGAGATACACAATTGAATAATTTGACAGAAGTTATAAAGAACTCTCTTTTAGCATATAAAAATAAAAATAAAGAGCTTCCTGTTGAAATTATTATTTACAGATAAGAATAAGGTGAAGGCCAAATACAGGGCTCTCTTAAGTTTGAAATTTAAGCTATACAAAGAAGTTTTGAAATTATTAACAAATAATATTAACCTAAATTTGCTTATTTCTAAGTAAATAAAAAAATCACTGAAAAGTTTTATTCTTTTGATCAATCAAATATAATTAAAAATCCTAATTCTGGAACAATTGTAGCTTCGGATCAAGTTGTTTCTAAACATTTCGAATTTTTTTTATGTGCACAAAATTGTAATAGTGGAGTTTGTACACCTACTAAGTACTTGTGTTTGTATAATAGTTTATTATTTAAAGAAGAAACATTCTGGTAACTAACTTATTGGTAATGCTTCAATTATTACAATTGGTCAGGTCCAGTAAGAATACCAGGATGTATGATGTATGCAGGAAAACTAGCAAAATTTACGGCAGAAGTATTATAAGGATGTGCACATGAAAATCTTAATAATAGCTTATATTATTTGTGAAATTTATTTTTTATAAAATATTTATTTTACAATTTTTTATTTTGATTTTTATTTTACTTTTTTTTTTTTGATTTGGATATTTTATTGGAATAAAATAATATCATTATTTTCAAAGTAATTTTTAAATTTTTATTATTGTAATTATTTATAAATTAATTTAGAAATAGTTTTTTATTATATAGAAAAAAAGTTCATATAGAAAGAGACTGTTTTTTGAGAAAAATAAAATATATAATATTTTATTGATATATGAAAGTAAAATAAACTTAAATTGGAAAAATAAAACGAAAATTAGAATTGAAATAAATAAAAAAATAATATATAAATATATATAATAATAAATAAAAAAAAATTATAAATTATAAATATAAAATTGAAAAATTATTATGAATTAGATATATTATAAAAAAAAAATTAAAAAAAATAAAAAATATATAAATAAAATTAAAAAAAATTAATAAATAATTATAATTAATAAATAATATAAATTTATAAAAAAATAAAGAAAAATATATATATATATATATATATATATATATATATATATATATATATATATATATATTTTTATTATATAATTATAATTATAACGGTTTTTTTTTTATAATATATAGGTTTAGTATATAGTATGGGTTTAGTAGGGGTAGGGTAATAGGGGGTGGTTGGCTAGTGTTTTTTAGGGGGTATCTTAATAGGTTTATTAGGGGGTTTTATAGGGTTCTTATTATTGTTCGGGTAGGCTTATAGGGTATGGTATATGGTGTTTTATTTATGGTATATATTGGTTAGTATTTATTTTTGGTGGGCTAGGTATATTTAGTTTTTTTATTCATATATATTTACGTTTTTTTTTTGGGTTTTTTTATGTTTTTTTTTTTGTGTGTTTTTGGTGCTTTGGTGGTTTTTTTGATGTTTTTTTTGCGGCGGCTTTTG